ATTCAACTAAGAAGGGGCTTCCAGACCCATATTCTAGAATTCCTATTAATAGTACTCAGGACAATGTATGATGGGCTTAACAGCCCATATTATACTTCAGCTGAAGTCTACACCTCCCTGAATCACAGCTACTATGCATTTAATAGGAAACCATTATGATTTAGAACTTCTTCAATGTTGCTAGTGCCGATACCATTATCCTAAGGCAGGTGATGCATGTCAAGATACCAATTCTTTGCATAATAATATTCAGCAGCTTAATTACATACATAAACCTTATGATATAGAAGAAAACATTGTTCTTTAATTTAATGCAAATTTTTAAATTTCTCAATATAATCAGCTATGTGGAAAGTCCACCTGCCATTCATTGTTCCTTTTGCTATTTTATATGTCAAGCATCTCTCTCCTCCCCTTCTCAATTTTTGAGGTTTCTCAATTTTTCTTGGTCTAACTCCTAGAATCACATCCTATTCCTTTGATTCCTCTCACTTTTGCTGCCTTCTTTGGACCTTTTCCATTTTTGCTCTGCTTCCTGTGAAATTCTATGAGCAGCACCAAGTAAAACATTCAAGGACAGACTGATTTATATTCCCCTAAGATTATAATTTTTTTCTAAATCACTCTAAATAGCATTGTAATATACGTAAATATGTGTCTGTGTGTGTCTACATTTTAACTCTGCTGCCCTCTGAACAGATGCTGTGATGGAGCTCTGTGCTAATAGCACCTAAATCTTCTCCTTGAGAAGGACAGCTAATTGAAAAGTTATCTATTTTCAAGGGCAGCCGAGATTATTCCTTCCAATATGCATTCATTCAGCTTCAGCTCCCCTGTGGTAAGAGATGGTTTGTCTCCCAATAATCAGGGAGCATGACTTTAGTAGGTTAGGGTTAGACTTTGTCACTGGCTTATTTCAAGGAAAAATACAAAGCTAGGTTCCCTTTGAAGCCAGAGAGCCTAAGGCACAATGGTCTGTCTCTGGATTTTAGCATAACACACTGGCCAGTATAGTAATAAAATATTGTATCTTATCTACAGGATCAGTTAACATTCTCAGTATAGTTCAGCATTAATATTGTGAACGCTGGCAAGGGAATCCTTAAAGGAATTCTAGGTGGAAATGGGAATATTGGGCACTCAACAAGGCCCAATAAACCTTTCAATAAATTAAGATTTGTTGTGATTATAAAGAACATTTTTTTTTTTTTTTTGAGATGGAGTTTCGTTCTTGCTGCCCAGGCTGGACTGGAGTGGTGCAATCTCGGCTCACTGCAATCTCCGCCTCCCGGGTTCAAGTGATTCTCCTGCCTCAGCCTCCCAAGTAGCTGGAACTACAGACACCTGCCACCACACCTGGCTAACTTTTGTATCTTTAGTAGAGACAGGGTTTCACCATGTTGGCCAGGCTGGTCTCAAACTCCTGACCTCAGGTGATCCGTCCACCTCAGCCTCCCGAAGTGCTTGGATTACAGGCGTGAACCACCGCAACTGGCCGAGAAAAAAAAGTTTCACTAAAAGATCTGATCTACTTTTAGGAAATTACCCTCGATAAAGTAATGCTGAACAAATGTGACTATAGACACTCAGCTCATCTACTTTGTTCTCTAGTCTATAATCTCTCCTAGTGGCTAAATCCAGTTAACACTTTTTAGTCCTTAACTGAATGTGTGTACAGAATCTGATACTCATGATTTCTCTACTCCTTCTTGAAACTTGAAACTTGCCTCTCCCATGGCTTCTCTACCCATCACATGAGACTCCTGACTTTTTCCACTTCTCAAGCCATTCCCTGGGGGCACTCTTATAGTGCACACCCTTGGTTACACATCCCTTGTTCTCTGAATCACTTCTTTTCTCTCCCTGAATGATCTCCTCTTCTACACTAACAGCTTCACCCACCATACCCCTTTCTTGGATGTTTAAAGGCATCTCAAACTGTCAATATGCAACCATAAACTTGGCATCTTCTCCATGAAGGCTGCTTTTCCTCCTTGATTCCCTGTCGTGGTAGAAAGCAACACCTTACACTTGCCAGTCAACCAAGCCAAATCCGGGGGAGGTCCAGTGACAAGGGGGTCTTTCCTTCCCAAAATCCTTCCTATGTCATCAGCCACCAGGTTCCGCTTCTGCTTCTTTATTATTTCTAAAGTTACTCCCTTCCCTCCATCTCACTGCCATGTGACCCACATCTTCACACTGCAGCTACAGAGTATGCTGCTCGAATTAAAACTTGGTCATATCTCCCTCCTCCTTATGACATTTCCGTGATTCTTTGCCACCTTCAGGAGAAAAATCAATCTCCATGGCACAGCCCTGAGGCTCACTGAGGAAGTCTCCTGCTTCCCTCTCCAACCCCCTCATGTCATAGGCTCTCCACACTTATCACAAGCTTTCCCCAAATGCACCCTGTTCTCTGGCCTCCCTGCCAGACACAAGCATACATACACTTTTCCCGTTGGCAATTCCCACAAATACTCAGGCAATACCTCTTGACCTGGCTTGGGGAAGGCCTTCTAGATAACTAACTCTCATCCAGGCACCTTTCCTATGTGCTACCTCAAGACTATGTCCATATCATCCCATAGTGCTGGACACAGCAAATGACTGGGGTTTTTTTTGTTTGTTGTTTTGTTTTGTTTTGTTTTTAATGTACACCTATGTATCAGCTGGCCTTTCCTCCTAGATAGTGAATTCTTTGAGAGTGTCTTACTGGCTCTCCCCTTGTCAGTACTGATTACAGTAACTGGCACATAGCAAATGTCAAATAACTGCCAAATAAATGAAGGAATGAATGCATGCATTCCTTCAGACTCCACATCAGCCTCAAAGGAGCAATTTTGCATGCTAAAAACTGCCTACGAGAAGGATAAAGAAAAGGAAGCTAGGACTATGCAATAATTACCTTACCATATCAATACACTGCTTGTATTAACAGGATCAATGACAAGTAAAAGCAAATGAATGCATCCCAGTATCATAAAACAAGCTGTATGTTAAGCCTTAGGGCTTTGAAATTTGGACATCTAAGATTTTGGGCTATCTGCAACAACAACAAAGAAATGTGTATGTATCCTCGAGTCAAATTGTAGGAAAAGTAAATGCAGAGGCAAGTTTGATGTTTTACATGTGTCATTCATAGAACAACAGTGACTGTATGACCCATGGCCCCTGCTCAAGTTGCAGTCCCTGAGTCTGACCTGGATGGGGCGGCCAGCAGTGAGCATGGCCCTCACACACCTGCTAACCCCAGACTGCTTCTCTGCTTCAGAAATACAAAGTCAGCAAGAGAAGGGACCTGGAGCAACCAGATGGCAAACGGAAAAGAGTGAATTGCACAGGGTCCTCCCAGTTTAGAAGACTCTTAGGAAGGATACCCCAGGAAGTATCAGCCTCAGGAAAGTACCTCAGGACCTCAGGGGACTATCTCTTCCCATCCTCACTACTTGACTCTTCTCTGTTCATATTCTTTTCTTGGATGTCTCATTTGTTTTGTTATTCCGTCTTTTTTTTTTTTTTTTTTTTTTGAGATGGAATCTTGCTCCATTGCCCAGCCTGAAGTGCAGTGGCACAATCTTGGCTCACTGCAACCTCCACCTATGGGTTTCCTCCATAGGTGATTCCAGAGCACCTTACTTATTATCATGTTAATTGTTTAGTCATCTGCCTCCCCATCTCTTTGGTGAACTTTTTGAGAGTAAAAGTTGTTTTAATCTCATTATCCTCTGTGTCCAGTTGGCATTCAGGAAGGGTTTCTTTTTGTTCTTCATTTTTAAATTAAAAGCAAAGTGCATTTAGTGGTACTAAAAAACAAGAACACATCACCAGTGATAAGTGAGTGCTGGCATATACTTATACCCCTGTTCAGTGTGATGAGAAGAGCCCTTCACCTCCACAGTTGTTTTTCTCAAACCCATACCCCTAGTCTAATCATGTGCAGAATAGTCTCTTATAAAAACAAATAGATGAATGACTAAATATAGGAATTAGAATTTGTTGTAAAAATATAAGGTTCAAAAGTGATATGATCAAAGTTCATAAAATAATGAAGGGTGTGAGAAGGAGAGGCTGAGTGGGGAAATTATTAAATTAATCCCTAGCAAAACACAAATAAATAAAATTATTAAATGTTGGAAGAAGGATTTTTTTAAGATTTAAGGGCAAACTAAAGAAAGCTTTACTGAGAAGTTAGTGAACTTGAGCTTTTTAACTTCAAGAAATAATGGTGACTATTTAAAAGCTACCAAAGAAAACTTGGTTTGCTGAGAGTATTTCCCAAGTCTTTTGAGGTTGATCATGAAGAAACAATACAGCTTTCCAGAACATATCCATCCCTTAGACAGATCCCTGAAAGACAGGAGATATTTAAAGCCCCTTTTGTAATATCAAAATCATGGTTTAAATAGATTCGAGTGATGCTGCCTCATGTTCCACCAGCTAACATCCCAGTGACAATTCACTCGGGTGCTCCCACCCACTGTGCAGTAGCATTTAGGGCACCTATGAAGAGCCCAAGGCCGGGGGTGGGTGACCAAAAGTGGAACTAGCAAACAATCCAGAATTTTCTAGGGCACTCCTTCTGGGTCCTTCACCCCACACATGCAGAATTTTCCTGTACACACCAAGGCAAAATGATTTCAAAGCCTATGAGTGACTCACAGAAATAACCAGCATCCCCACTTTACTTCCAGACTTTCTATTCTCCACACCTGGGGAAATTCACATAAGGAAATAACTAGACTAATAAAAAGCTTTTGCCTTTCAGTGATCTCGATTAACTCTCTAAAAACTAACTTTTAAAATACAGACCATAAATTAGTGTTGGGTTCTGTCCGTCCTTGACCTTTCAATCACTTTCACTAGTTCAAGCCACTTAACTTTCATCTGGAGAGGTATGACTGATCTAAAAGGAACTAAAACATAAAACAGACGTTTTCCTTTCTCAGAAACAATGTTTAACTCGTAACTTTACTCTGAAAGATCCAAAGCAGCACACTCACCTGTAGCTGGGATATAGTTAAAGGGTATCGGAATAATATCCAGGTGACACCTTCACTGCAAGGTGGGATGGTGAGAGAGCCTTCATACACCCAGTAATCCCGCAGCAGAGGGTCTGCACGGCCACGTGGATATGTCATGGAAAAGGCAAGTGAATTAATAACAATCCTGATGACTCCAACAATTTTCAAAATTACAAACTGTCCAAATGATGCTTCTAAGATGGATGTCGTTTTTAAACTAGAGCTCCACATTCTTACAGTACTCATTGTGGAAAAAATAATTGATAAAAAAACATGATGAATTCTCTATTATTTACAGTGATTTCTATCAATGGATTACTATATATACCTGTAAAGTTTAATCACTTTAGAAGTGTATCTATATTTTGGGTTTTTTCACTTTATTAAAGGACTTACCTGACTATTTCATATCTAATATTTATTGAACGCTTATGACGTGCCAGCAATTTACTTTAATTCATTTAACCTGCACAACAAACCAGTGAGATAGGTAGTAATATTAACATTATTTTTCAGATGGGAAAACTGAATCTCAAAAGAGTAGTAATTTGCCGAAGGTCACTCAGCTAATAATCACTGGCAGAGCCAGGATTCGAATTCGTGCAGTCTGGCTTCATAACCTGTATTATCGTTTTTAAGAGACAGGGTCTGGCTCTATCACCCAGGCTGCTGGAGTGTGGTGATGTGATCATGAATCACTGCAGCCTCAAACTCCTGGGCTCAAGCAACCATCTCACCTCAGCCTCCCAAGTGGCTAGGACTATGGGTGCACACCACCACAGCCAGCAATTATTTCTTCTTTTTTCTGAGAGCGAGGTCTGGCTATGGCTAGTCTCAAACTCTTGGTCACAAGCAATCCTCTCACATCAGCCTCCCAAAGTGTTGAGATTACACAGGTGTGAGCCACCACGTCTGTCTGAAAGCCTGTATTTTTAACCATTCAGTTCTAGCTACCACTATACTGCTTCTGCAACAGCAAAATATTAAAATATTACAATAGAACAAAATAGGTCATTCTTATGAAATCTTTTAGCTCTGCATTAGAGGAATTTATGATTAATATGATGGATAAATGTTTAACATATGATAGAAATTGGTTTGTTGTAGAGTAATTAAATGTAGAAAATAGAAGATACAATGCACCAACTATTTGGTTTTGTTTAAAACACTAAGAGACAGCACATAATTTGGGCAGAGAAATGTAAAGATCAAAATTTTATATACAACAACCTTTAAATCATATTCTGAGTATTTTATGTATAATTGTTACCTCTACACAAATACAATTAGAGTAATATATAATAACAGTATTACTGCAGAGAGGTAACCTTACAAAATTAGATACAAAGTCTATTTTACTCTAAGGATTAAGAACTCCACTGATCAGTCTTAGAGGTACATCAAGGTTTTTTCTTTCTTTGTTTGTTTGTTTGAGACAGTTTCACTCTGTCACCCAGGCTGAGTGTAGTCACATGATCTCGGCTCACTGCAACCTCCATCTCCTGGGTTCAAGTGATTCTCCTGCTTCAGCCTCCTGAGTAGCTGGAATTACAGGTATAAGCCACCACACCCGGCCAAAGTTATTCTATTATACTGGTGCTTTACACAGAGGTAGCAATTTTTACAAATGACAATCCTATGAAAGCTCTTCGTGGATCATTAAAATTCATTTTATGCAATCAGATAAATACTTACCTGGTAATAAAGTGTTAGGATTAAAGCAAGGTATTGTTTTGGACTTCCCCTGAAAAGAAAAAATGTTTACCCAATGTTAATGTAATATTTCTAGATTTTAGAATAAAAATCTATTAGAACTAAAAAATTAGAATGAAGTCTTTTCTGAATGGCCTCATCAGGTTCCACAGACTTGTGGGTATCTCCTTCCACCTTCTCACTGGAGTAACATTGTCTGGTTCCTGCTCTAATTCTATGGCTATTGTCTTTGCTACCACAGTTCAATTCTCCCTGTAAGTCCTGGTGTGGAACCTACACATGGTGCCCCATCTGCCCCATGTCAGTTACCTTTTCTGCTTTGAGCACATTCATACCAGAGACTTGGGCTAAATTCTCATTGTAAAATGCCTGAACCCTGGATGGGGGAATTTTCAAAATGCCTTTCCTCCTGCTTGCTTTCATTTCAGCTCCTAACCTTTTTGGCACTACAACCTGACTTGCAACTTCTTGTTTTGTCCTATTTGGATTTGGTAATTCAGCTCTGGGATCTATGCTAGATGCTCTCCTCATCTGGAAAGGGAGATCTGAAACAGATGGAAATATTCTGTTCCAATCAGTGTTTATCAAAGCTAGATTTAAATTGCAAGGGAATCATGTGTGCCCTTATTCAACAATTCACATTTAAGATCATCATTTTAAATCATGTCATTTAAATTGCTTAGACTTTAGAAGCAAATAGTCCTGTCATGTGAATCAGATGTTTCTTAAAAGATTTTTCTCTATCAATATAGATGCAATAGGGAAAGTTATTGCATAACCTCCAAGTCCCTTCCTGACTTCCTGGGACTATTTTATACGTTAAAGAATCTAGCTTACTTGTCGCCTCCCCAATCCTCCTGAATTCCATAATGATTGGTGTCCTATTAGATGATGAAATAAAGGAAACTTTCACAGCCCACAGCCCATTGCAGTTGTACAAATATAAGTCAAAATGTGCCCTCACCGTCTTTTTATCAGCTTCTTTTGTCTGGACTGGACTTCCCTTGGAAGCTGGGTTCATCCCAAACCTACTCAGGAGATCTTCAGTGGAGGTTCTGCCTGGTTCAGGATACCCTGGTCTGTGCTAGTATAAACCTAATCAAACTTGATTCCCAAATTGATCTTTCTTAAAACTGGCTTTGGGTCTCTGGATCTCCTGTAATTAAACAAGTTCAACTCCTGTTCTGTATCTCCAGCAGCCCTACAAGACTGGACTACTTCCCCTCCCCCAGGCCACTCACATTCAACTGACTAAGAGTGAGCCAAGAAGGCACCGCTTATAAGAGAGACTGGCATTGGGCCGGGCGCGGTGGCTCACACCTGTAATCCCAGCACTGGGAGGCGGAGGCAGGTGGATCATGATGTCAAGAGATCAAGACCACCCTGGTCAACATGGTGAAACCCTGTCTCTACTAAAAATACAAAAATTAGCTGAGCGTGGTGGTGGCATTGGCTTCCTAGCAATGCTAGGCCGTATCATTGCAGGGTCATGTTGATCACCTTCTCTTGGATGTTATCTTACCGCATATGTGTACTTGTTTTCTTTCTTTAAATTTATTTAACGTAAATACTTTGAAATATGATTCCCCAAGTTTTTATTTGTTTCATTTATACAACTTTCCAATAGCATGCAGGTAGGAAAGGGTTAACTCAGCAGGCCTGAGTTGCTCAAATCCTGCACATCCCATATAAAGGCCTGCTTTTAGGACTAACTCTTGGGTCCTGAGATATAAACTCTGAGCTTGGAATATTCTACCTGATAAGACTGTTTCTGTGTGCCTGCAGCCTTGGGCCATGCTGTATTTATGGCGAACTCCTGTTGTTACGTTTGAGGCCTTCAGACATACTGTACCAATTGCAACAGAGAAGCTGATGCTAACAATGTGACTTATGGTGAAGAGGGCAGGGAGAGGGTTGCTGCTAGAGAGTGAGTAGCTGAGGACAGTTACATTGCAGGCATTTTGTGCTTCAATGACTGACCCCTAATCAATCTCTGGACACTAAGGCTAGAGTGAGCTTCTGTAGTTGTCAACACTTCACACATGTTATGACACATCATTGCTAGGAGAATTAGGGGCCTCCTCACATGACTCCACTGGGAGGGGACACCTGGAAGCTTGTGCCTGATTTCCCCTGGACTTCATTCCGTGCACCTTTTCCCTCTGCTTTTGGATCTGTTTCTTTTCACTGTAATAAACCATAACCACAAGGATAACAGCTTTTCTGAGGTCTGTGAGTCCTTCTAACACAGCATCGAGCCTGCAGGTGATCACAGGGACCTCCTACACAACCAGTATTTCTATATTATTTTAAATAATGACTTACCTTATACTGAATATCCTGGAGGATTTCAGTCACAGCCTTCAAGCCAACATGCTCCTTTCCTATCTGAAAAATATAAAGCATAAACCACAACCACAACATTTTTCAGTGTTTAGCTTTAACTAAAAAAAAAACTAACAGGGCCTAGAGTAGTGGCCCATGCCTGTAATCCCAGCACTTTGGGATGCCAAGTTGGGTGGATCATGAGGTTAGGAGATCAAGGCCATCCTGGCTAACACGGTGAAACCCTGTCTCTACTAAAAATACAAAAAATTAGCTGGGTGTGGTGGCACGCACCTATAGTCCCAGCTACTCGGGAGGCTGAGGAAGAAGAATCACTTGATCCCAGAAGGCAGAGAGGTTGCAGTGAGCCAAGATCATGCCACTGCACTCCAGCATGGGTGACAGCGCGAGACTCTACCACCAAAAAAAAAAAAAAAAAAACTAACAGAACTTGGTTCCAGTCCATCTGAATGTCCTTTTGGAGGAACAATTAAATGGCCTTTTATTAATAACTAGGTCAATGTCTACTAAAGGTAATTAAAGTTGTAACGGAGCTAATATAATAAAGTATTAGATATATAAATGTACAAGAACTCGTTCTAAATTCTTCTTACTATGTATAGGAATCACTCATTTTGCTACATATAATATATCAAATTATAAAACACTGTTATATAAAAATATCAAGGATATTTTTGAATTAAAATTACTCAGTACATGTTCAAACCCTTCCATGTTTAACTCTGGCATCTATAGATCATTGCTATAAAGATTTTAACAATACTGAAAAATTATATTAACTTAGAAAAGCAGGTATGTGATTTTGTATGTTAAATTCACCAAAATCAAGACCCTTCTTGATTACTACTAGACATAATTTTATAACTACCTATTTTTAAATAAATAAGAATGTGCTTTTTATAGCCTTATTTTTAAAAACATATCACTATATATTAGTAGTGTATAAAATGCTCCCAAAAAAATTGAGACAAAAAAATTCTAACACTTAATATTCTTGACTTTGGCTTTAAAACTTTTAAGTGAAATCTGATCAATTTCCAATGGTCCATGATAATGGAGGAGAGTAATGGGGGTCATTTAGAACCTCAAATAAACAATCACTGCTTTTGTCAGCTTTTCTCCTTCTACATAGATATTTGGAGAATGACCTAAAAGAAGCAAGAGTAGCTGTCAATATGTTCACATTCTCTGTCTCTCCCAATGTTAACCAACTGCAAAACATGCAGATGAAAGAGCATCCAAAGGGACAGGAGAGATACAAGAAATGCTCCACCTAAGGCAGGCCAGTCAGCTCTGAACCATCAGGACGTGAACTACTTTCCAAGAGTCTACAATTATTCCTGAGATAGGCTCTAAAAACAGAAAGTAAACTTTCTAAAGTTAAAAACAAACAAAAAAAATTAAAACCTAATGCATAGGTACCTGTGGGTACAGCAGCCTGAATTTTTAGGCAGAAATCATTACCCATTCTTCAGGAGAAATGGACCTCTCTTTGTCTTACTGCTTTAACCTTGCTATAGCACTGGGAGGCCTACGTCTGCACTTGGGGTCTGCTTTCATCTCAGGCAACTCCTGTCGGGTTGTAAACTCTTTGAAGAGTACACATATGAACACTAAGGCCACTCAATGTGGTAGCTTAGGAGCAGGCTCACTTTGCACTGGACTGCCTGGATTTCAATCCTGACTCTGCCACCTCTTAGCTGTGTGGCCTTAAGCAAGTGTACTTAACCTCTACATCCTTCTGCTTCCTCAGCTATTTGCTGGGGAGGATAAAAATGATAGGTTTGTAGATAAGATTAAATCAAACGAAAGCTGTAGAACAGGTTTGGGTCATCATAATTCATTTAATGTCCATTATTATTCTTAATCTGGACGCCCTACAGCATCAAATATAGTTTCTCCATACAGTAGCGCTTAACAACTATTACTAGCTCCTTCTATCTATAAAGACCCTACTTTATGGACAAAACTTTATATCTTGCAAATTCTATAAACTCTGTTATTACGCCATCTCTTTCTTTTCCTTCCTTGCCAAATTTTTGTATGAAGTAATGATGACCAGCAAAAAGCAAGTACTGATGATAATCTCCACACCCCAACTGCTAAAACCATGCAAGCAACTGTTCAGATAACACAACCTGGTACCAAGAGCCCATTAGGAACCTTGAGAACAACTCATTTCTCAGCTCTCACCTTTGCCACCTTTTACCACCACTGGAAATGCAAAACACTTTGGTCCGTTCTCCTTGCCTGGCATCTCAGCCCTGAACCACCTGTTTTTTTCACTTCTAACTCAATCTCTCCTTATCTTCCACTGCACTCTCTAGAACAGAACAATTCTGCATTTCTGCCCACATCTCCCACCACTTCCTGATCTACCTGAACCCCTCGGGTCTGCCCAAGGGCGTGGCTCTTTTGCAGGCCCTTCGAGTAGACGCCATGCAGTCCCCCAAGGAGACAGACTGGAATCCACAGTCAGTGTACTCTTGCTCCCTTCAGTGTGGAACTCTCTGACCCACATGCTCAAGCCATCCTCCCAAGGGAACCATCCTCTAAGGCTATCAAGGCCTCCTTCTTTCTCCCTTACTGACCCACTAGACAATCTCTCCCAGGCATCACCTCCTGCTACTACCCTAGACAGCTTCAGCACCCAGGGATGGAGGCCCCTCCCTGGCCTAAGTCTCTTCACCCTTCAGTCTGTGGCCTTCTGCCCCATTCCACCTCAGCAAACTAACTCTGAGGACACTCCTGGTACGTGCTCTCATTCTGAAAACTTCAATTCTGAAAGACTGGCCTCTCTGACCAGATGCCCTGGGTCATCCAGCTCTCCTGCTCTTTCCTTTCTCCCCTTCACTGATCACCAGGAGCCAAGGCTGGGAGGTCCCTGTGGCTTCTTCTCCTTCCCCTTCCTGCCTAGACATGGTGTGGGACTGGTTAGACAGAACGATGTCTCTCCAACCACTCTCCATTCTTTAATCCTTTTACCTCCTAAATCATCGGCTCTGTGATGGATCAACACAACAACTTAGTAGAACTCTCTAGTCCTTTACCTGGATAAAGAACAACCCATCATACCCTGTCCTGTATGATCTGGGGTGTCCAATCCCTCAGTGAGCCAAGTCTATTATCATCCCCTTCTGGTCTATTTCAAGACTCAATCCCACATTCACATTTTCTTTGTTCTATAAATAGTTCTGCTTTGTGTCTCAGAGATAATGAAAGTCATCAGGCATGAACTCCCTTAATGTCCTGCCCTTCTCCACCTACAAATCAGCCCCATGTGTGCCCACCCTTTCCTCCTGGCCCTCTATTTTGGAGAAGGGGTGGGTCTGCTCCTATCTGAGATTAGTCCACCGCATAAGCTCTCCATCCCATGCCCTCTTGCCTCCTCCAGGACTTTTCCACATCAGTGACACCCTCTCTTTCCAGTATTTTTAATCTCTATCTCTGCAAAAGATCTTATTGCTTAGGGAAAAAAAACAAAAACAAAAACAAAAACTACAGGCAGATCTCAAATCTCAAAAGATTCACTGGACATCATCGCTAGTTATTGCCCCATCTGTCCTTCCTTCCTTCCTTTGGCCAAACTTCTTGAAAGGAAAGTCTACTCAATGCCTCCGACTTCCCTCCCACCGAATTTCTTTCCTCCAGCCCGAGGGCCAGACTCCCCAGATGGATTTCAGCCCATCCTTCCCTTCCCCTCTCCTTCCCTCCTTCCTGAAATTTTGCTCTCAGTTCTGCAGTTTTACTCTCTCCTGAGAATTTGCACCCAGATAACCTGAATTTTTCCTCATAGAAACTTATGAAAAGTTAGAAAAAGTGTGCTTGCTCTCCAGGCTTTCCCTCGCCTGCAATAATGCAGCTTGTTCTTGGAAACACTCGCATTAGTTCTAAGGGGCTGGGTTTTCAGTCCGGCGCTCTACAAATCCAGGTCACCTGTTACGTAGTAGGAATCAGGAAATGAAAATACTAAGTTATCACACCTAATTCCATCCACAAATATTTGAGTACCAATTCCAAAGATGAAACTGACGTGTTCCTTTCCCTTCTATATATGACTATATGGTTATTTGCATTCTTATTTTTATTTTACTATTTTTTATTCTCACTTTTAGTACCTTCTACTGTCTCAATTTCTTAGATTTGGATGATACTTTATTAACTTTTCTGGGTTATAAGAGTAGTCTTTCATAATTATTACTTCAATATACTAAAAATTATCAAAATATATTTCTATAATGAAAAAAATGTTTTCATTAATATTTTGTGATTTCTTTCTAGTTATATAATGCAGTTATAAAACACAAGGAACGTAGGTCCCCACCTGTGACAAAGCTGTGAAATAAATAGTAAGAGGACTCACTGAAAAATGTAAGGATTTCCTTTAAATTTCTATGATGTGTCATATTTGCAAGATGCTGATTTTAAAATATTAAGAGCCTAAACTGGATGGCTACTTTCAAACATCAATAAAGAAACATCTAGGAGATATGTATTAAAAATTATTGCAATTAATTTGTGATATATATGCCATAAAAAAACAAGTTTAAAAGGGCCCATTATTGAACTCTCTTTGGAAAATTAAGTTTTTGAAGAACACTGTGCTAACATGCTCTAATCCCAGGTTATCCAACAGGCAGCCCAGAGCCACGCAGAGCGGGAACTCTGGTTTCTGGTCCTAATGGCAGCTTTAAAGCTAAAATTTACAGGTAGTCTTTCACCTCTAAATTTTTTATGATGTCAAATAGGTAATAAGACAAAATTTAGAAGATTCACCTTAAAAACTGAATTAAGTTTTCACCTCTGAAAGCACAAGACCTGCTTTCATATGTTTGGGTAAATGTATATACTATCCTTTGCCTACCACAGTGCTCAAATCTAAATGTTATATTGACTATATCTGCAAAGGTATTTCAAGTAATCTCAGAGTGAAAATTGTTAACAAAGAAGGGCTAAAGTAATCTACTACATAATTCTTTTTTTTTTTTTTTTTTTTTTTTTTTTTGTAGATTTTTGTGTAACCCAGGGTCTAAAGACATTTTCTGAAAACCTTTTTCATAAAATAAAATCTACCTTCAGGAGTCATTTTCTCAGTCATTTCTCCAAAGATCCTGAATGTTTCTCTGAAGAAAATTTCTAACTTTAAATAACAGAACTATTTTCTACCAATGACTATGGCTGAATTCTGATGAACCACAAGGATCAAGTTTTCTATTTTTATCAAGTGTTCTCTGTATGTGTGTAATTTCATCTCTAAGCAATAAAATTGAGAATAAAAAGTATTTTACAAAATGATTTGGAAATTAGCATCTCTAAACAATATGATAATCACAGCAGAGAGTTTACCTGAACAAACAGAGCAATGATGGCAATCCCGTGCGGCTTCCCCACAGCCTCATCAATGCTGCCAAACAGAGTGGAGTTCCAGTGGATCAGATGGAGCTGGGTGAGTGGCAACAGACAGATCACATCATTTAATGTGCTACTTCTAGTCATAAAAGCAAAGATATAGCCTTTTCTTTACGATTTCTATATGGTATCACACACAGCAAGAGGATCACAAGTAGACACAAACTACTGGCTTAATATGAGTTCTCTGTATGAATTCCTTCCTTATTATTTCTGAACAGAAGCAGTGCTTAGTGGATCGCTGCCTCTTAAGTCCAATTTTCGTCCTGATGAGGAGGAAGATGACTAGAGGGACTCACAGACTTCACATGGATTCAGTTACCTTTCCTGGGATGTCATCCTTTTGAATCTCCATGAAACAAAGCTCCCAGTCTGGGCACAAACACTAGAACTCATTCAAAGGATGAATACCTGCATAATCAAATCCTGCATCACCCAGTATTTCCATCAGGAAATGTACAAAGCCAGTCTGTAGTTCTAGTAAATTATTTTAACTTTCTAAGAATACCCAGAGATAGCATCCTGGGAAAAAAAAAAAAAAAAAAAAAAAAAAGCTGCATATTTAAAGCCATGGTAAAATAATAAATGCTGATGTAAATCTCTAAAAGAAGGCTATTTCCTGCACTGGAGATAAAATTTTATCTGTGAAGAAATGACAAACAATGCTCAGAGGCCTCCCTCACTCCTAGCCTCATAAAGCTTTGCAGCTTTCAAGTTTATCTGGAATATGCACTTGCTCCTACAGTACTGATAAAACACTTGCAAGAAGCCAAATTCAATTCCTGATTAAAAACCAAATGTCCACTGAGGTTCTTAGTCTAATAGTAGGTAGGTAAACCTTTAGTATACTAAGTATTTAGTATGCTAAATACTGCTTAGTATAATAGTAGGTAGGTAAATATTACCTTCATCACCACAGCTTTTCATCAAGTTATAATTACCGCCTTACAACATTGCCTCATTTTAAAATTAGTTCTAATATCAAAAGACATAGCTAAAATTCAACCACTATTTATTTTAGCATTTATATTAAAATATTCAAGAAAATTATCATAAAGATGGCCACAAATTGGATTTTTCTACTGCTGAATTAATCCAAGTAGAATCTGATATTATAAAACCGACCACTAGAGGGAGGTAATGAAATCCTCTACCAATAATAGAACAGGTAACTAGGAAAAGTGCCCCATGGCTCACTCAGCCAGGTCAGGCTGTGAGGCTGTGAAAAACTCACAGAGACTGTGACTATCCAGTAAACGCAACTGAAAGGCACTGCTTTTAAGAAAACCATGTTCTATAATCTCTCAATAATAAAAGACATGTTCTATAATGTCTTTTAAGAAAACCATGTTCTATAATCTCTCAATAATAAAAGACAATTTTAATCTTCCCTTCTCTGGCTGCAACAACAGCATAGGAGTCCTAGTGGTAGAGGTAAGAACTGATTGCCTTAATTAAACCACCAACAAAGCAGGTCTACGCCCAAGGTTAAAATAAATTTTTATTCCACAAATTACAAAATTCCAATTGACATTTTTCTTACTTCTCACAGCAATATTTTGGGACTTTTTTTAAACAAAACATTAATAAACCACAAAAGCATGGGTTTTTCTTTTTCCCTACTCCCCACAATTTAGCAACATTATCACTCACACCTGCCCTTCAAAAGCTGCTGCACATTTTTTGTGTGTTTAAAAAGCTAAGGGTCCCCACTCCTTAAGTGTGCACCGTGGGTGGTGACTTTGTTTCAAACAGTAAAGTATGGAACAGGGATAAAAATAGTGACTTTACAGTAGATAAACCTAATAAACACTATCTGATCAAGGTCAACATCAACAGTGATTAGTCATGTTGATAGGGTGTATGTATCCTTATATGTGAAGAAAATGGCACTTCACTGCTGTGTTTTCTCTCAATGACCCATAACCCAATCTAGCCACAAGAAAAACATCAGACAAATCTCAGTGACAGACACTCCACAAAATACCTCACCAGTAAGTACTCCTCAGAACTGTCAAGGTCATCAGAAACAAGGAAAGCCTGAGAAAAATATCACAGCCAAAAGAAGTCTAAGCAGACATGAGAACTAAATGCAATATAGTGTCATAGGTGAGATCCCAGAACAGAAGAAGGACATTAGGTAAACACTAAGGAAACCTAAATAAAATATGGATTAGTAACATATCAGTATTGGTCCATTAATTGTGACAAAGGTAACCATGCTAATGTAAAGTGTTACTAATAGAAGAAACTGGGTAGGAGTACATGGGAATTTCTGTACTGCCTTTATAATTTTCCTATAAATGTTAAACTGCTCTAAAAAATATTCTTTTTAACCAAAGACAAAAATTAAGAGATATGCTGGCACTTCAGTCAACCCAAGCTAACAAGGATAACAGAAGGTTGCTATGACCCCGACATGTCTAGCAAAATAACACAAAATGAAAGCAGCAACAGCAGCTCTCCCACGCATCCTTCACTCTACCTTCTGTGTCTTCAATAATCACTTGAGTCTTGGCGGTTCCAGGGCAGGAAAGATTCTCCCTTCACAATAACAAGGGACCCAAGCTTTAAAAAACAAAGCTCTGTCCTGCTTCTGATAAACCTTCTCTTAAAGGTCCTTTCTCTCATTTTCAGACCAAACAAATCATGACAGACGCCCTTTCTACACCAGTAGAGGTCGGCCAACTCAAGTACCAGGCAAATGTCCACCCCATTCTGGAACTCAGCCAACCTTCATCTGTAACCTAGGAGTGGTAACCTAGATGCGTGGCCCACAGGCACAGCACTCTGCACCTGCGCTGCCTCTCAAGTTAGCTTGCTCTGCTCCCCACGCGCCTTTCCTCTCCATCTGTATGAGTCTGCTAAGGTTGTCATCACAAAGTGGCACTGACTGGGTGGCTTAAACAATAGACATTTATTTTCTCACATTTCTGGAGGGTGGAAGTCTGAGATCAAGGTGTGGGCAGGGCTGGTTCCTTTTGAGCCCTGTCTCCTTGGCTTATAGATGGCTACCTTTTCCCTTTGTCTTCACATGGTCTTGCCTCTCTAGGAGTCTTGTCCAAATTTCCTCTTCTTGTAAGGACACCAGTCATAGTGGATAAGGGCCTGCCTAATGACTTCCTTTTAACCTAATTATTTCTGTAATGACCCTATGTCCAAATATGGTCAGTCTGATGTGCTAGTAATTGGCATTTCAATATGAATTTGGCAGGGCCACAATTCTGCCCAAGACACCAGCTATCTCACCCTTTGCTTTCTGCTCACCTTAAGAAAGTCTTTTCAAATCTGAAAAGCTTGAATTATTCACATCAACATCTGTTCTGCCACTGCCCCTTCTTTATTCCAATAATTTTATCATATTGTGCCTTATATTAATTAGTGCTGGTTCTGTTTCACAAAGCAAAGCCACAGAGGCAGGAAATTGTAAGTGCATTTGAAGGACTAACGGTACCTTGATGGGTAGCTAAAGGGTACAGAAGTCTGGCAATGACAAGAGTTGAGGCTAGAGAGCTAGAGGGGTCAGACTGCACAGAGCTTTAAATGTTATCATAGCTGTATTCTGGAAAACACTAAACCAATATATTATTTCAATGAATATTATGTGTGCAGTCTGGAATCAGACTCCCCCATAATAACCTCTTTCTTTCAAAGGTCTTTTTGATAGTGCAGGGGCTGGATTGGAAGTAGCAGACATTGAAAGCTGGAATATAAGCTAGGAGGATACCACAAAAGTCCCAGCTAAAAAATGATGACAGGAATGCAGGACAGTTAATTTTATGTGTCAACCTGGCTAGGCTACGGTGCCCAATTGTTTGATCAAACACCAGTAGAGACGTTGCAGTGAAGGTGCTCTTTAGATGTGATTGACATTTAAATCAACAGACTTTGAGTAAGGCTGAATGCCCTCCACTGTATGAGCAGGCCTCTGCCATACAATCAGTTAAAGCGCTTAAGAGCACAGACTGAGGTCCCCCAAGGGAGAAAAAATTCTGCCTCCAGAGCTCTGGATAAAAATTGGCCTGAGTTTCCAGCCTTCAAACTCAAGCTGCAACATCAACTCTTACATGAATTTCCAGCTTTCAGCCTACCTTGCAGATTTCAGATTTGCCAGCCCCCACAACCACATGAACCAATCCCTTAAATTAAATCCCAATCGCTTCTTTCTCCCTCTGTTTCTCTCTCTTTCTCCCTCTCCCTGTTTCTCTGGAGAACCCTAATATGGATCATGCAAACAAAAAAAAAAAAAGTATGGTAACCAAGAGAAGTTTAAATCTGATGATGACTAACGCCAATGGGAATAAAGAAAAATGACCCTAACATTTAGCTGTGACAACATTTGGTATTTATTCTTCTAAGACAAAACATGGTCTCCTTGGGGAGGGGGGATGAAGTGACAAAACAATCCTCTGATGATCAAAAATAACATATTATAACTTCTACTTATATTTATTTTTATCAAACTGCTTTTTATTTCAACTTTTTCTATGCTTCATAAAATATATAATATAAATACATATTAGTACATGAATATAATTTATTAACAAATATACACATATTATGGATACATGCTCCAAAGTTTGTCCTAATGCAGTGGCTAAAGACATCTGGAGACAAACAGGTTTGAATGGAAAAGCATATGATACTACAGATATGGCTCAGGAAATGATGAAGCAGCCCGCAGTACATCTTATGAACTGTCTTATTAAGGTCCAAGTAGACAGCTATTATCAGCAGAAAGGACTCACAAGACTCACTTCAAAGCCTAACAGCCCAGATATGCTCTGGGGTGTGTCTGGTCTATGGAGAGGGCAGGATACAGAGGCAGCAACCCTGTGCACTTCTCCAACTCCACTGATAAATTCTGACAGGCAATGTGCTCTCATAAAAGACCTCAGCTAGGAATCTCGTCTTAAGATTCTTGTTTCAGTTCTACAACTCTTTAGCTCTGTGAACTTCACTAGTCACTAACTTCTTTCAGCATCAGTCTCTCTGTAACACAGTAGACTGTATCTTAAAAGCTTGGATTATTC